CGACGGGCTGACTTGCAATGTTCACAGCGTCGCTTAAGAACACTTGTTAACGTTGTCTTAAGAAAACTATTTAGGTTTATGTGATTTGGAGGTTTATGCTGGCTTCAAGTTTCCTCATACCCCCAGAAACGTTGTATTTTATTTTATAGACCAACACAAAGTAAGAAGTAAGTATCATCCAGTGGAAAATGCTTTGCTTCTGAAAGCAGATGATTGTGAGTTAATGATGGAGAAATAGATGAGAAGCTTAATGTATAGGGAAATAACTGTGTACCACCTCTACAAAGGTTCCCCTTTCAACAAGACAAAGTGTGTAAAAAAGCATGAAAAGCTGCAATGAAATGGTTTTGATCAAAGCATTCAGATGTGGTTAAAGTACAGACATGAACCTGTGCCAAGATGAGAACATTTAATTTCCCAGTAACTCTTCATCCAATCTAACTGAGCTTGAGCTATTTTGTAAAGAACATACCTGTGTAATTTCCTCCAACTTCAATGTTGTGCTCTATTTTGGGCTAGAATTTCACACCACATCCAAATGATATGATGAAATGATGCTTCATTTACATTTCAAGACTGAGTCATGTGTGCCCTACACTCTTTTACTGTGAAAATGTTGCTGCTACAAAGATTTTTTTTCCGTATTTTATTTGGTAGTAATCTTACAGGGTAGAACATCATTGGAATTATAAATGATCAACGTTCAGAAATGAAAGCAAAAGCAAAGTAGACAACCTTTTTCCAACATCCTGCTGTGGCGTATCTTGTGTTGCAGGTGTGAGAAGGCCTCCTCCAGTCATGCCTTCCGCTCTACTCACATTTTATTCCCATGCCCTCCAATTCTGGATCTCTGCAGCATCTGGGGTCACTGAATTAGAGCTTATATAAAGCCACGATCACTCACTACACATCACCTCTGTGTGCATCATCTTTACTTCCTGCCTGCCGGCATGCTGAGGGGCCAAAGGGAGTGCCGTGTTTATGCATTCGTAAAAAGAAGATGAGAAAATCAAGGGGCGACATAGACATAGAGATTTAGTTTTAGTTTAGTTCCTCAAAAATGAGGGAAGTGTTTTTAAAAAGAAGATGTTCAGGAAACTGGCAGAGTGGTGGGACATTACATAACAGGACTTGATTGAAGACAGCTGCCCCTTACTAATGCTTCTCTTCTCATTTATTTTCAGCTTTTTCTCCAATGGCATTCACTTGTGGAGTCTTTCCCTTTTCAATTTTTCAATTTACATCCATCTGTGTTGATCTCAGATTAAGCAAAAAGTTTAAAGAATTATAATATAGACAATAGGGCTGCAACACTTACTGTTTCTGGTGTACTGATACTTTGTGCTCTGAATGCCAAAACGTAGCACAGTACAAAAATGTATTCAAACATTATTATTATTAGCTTAGTGAGTTTTTGCATTATTGATCAAAATCTTTATTTCTGCACATTTTTGTATTCTTCTCCTGACTGATACTGTTGTATAATCAGATTATTTTGATTCTGTGAAAGTTCTCTTAAAGTACAGTCATCAAGCATTATTGGGGTGAAGGTAAAGCTATGTTTTGAAAATAGATCCGATGGATTTCCCCTTACTTGACTTTTATCATAATGATATCTCTTCACATTCTTCTTCCAGGAACAGAACTGATTATCAATAGCAACATTGCATGACACTTCCGTGATGGAGAGAGATCAAATCTCAACATGTGACACTGTTTTCACTCGCTCCTAGCAGTTGAAAAACATGCCTACAACCAATATTTCTTGTCTATTTTTGTGCAAAACCACAATAATAAATTTTGCAAAGCTTGTACATTGATTGCATATTTGTGCTCACTGTCTTTTCAGGGAGCACCAACAAGCAGCACAAGAAGATTGGTGAATTTGCTAATAACTTTCTATTTTGAGAAGACAAAGAATACATCTGGTATATGAGAATGTACCAACGCCAAGTTGAGCTTAGCTCTGCGGGGAGGGAAACAATCAAAATCCTATAAGCCTTAGGGTTAACACATTCTTAACAAAACGAACAAGAGAAATTGGGTAAACCTGAATGAATGAAGAGTGCTAAGCAAGGCTAAAATAAATAGTGTTTTTTTTTCTTTTCTGGAAATGTTAGTGCACACACAAACAGAAATCACACTTTTAATAAGTGATAATGTTCATCAGCTGCAGCATTTCAGTTATTCAGCTGCATACAGGGATGTATCTAATTGCAGTGTTGTACAGGAAGAATCCTGATATGCCTGCAACATTTTTCACAGTGTCTGCATTGACATTTGATACACAACGGCAGCATTTCAAAAAAGATGAAGAAAAATGATTTACTTCTCATTTCAAACTCCGTCAAATATTGAGCCAAACACACAAAAACAATGTAGTGATAAATTATATACGGCTCTGTCTCAAATATATATTCAGCCATTGCTTTGGGTGGGAACCAGGTGAAATTTCTACCACAAACATTCAGCTGCTTCTCAAACCTCCCACTCTGTTACATAACCTGTTCACCCCCACTGCTGTTTCAGTCTGGAATATTTTGGAGTTCAATGTGCATCGTCTCATATTTTATGCATAAACAAAGCAAAGCAGACTTCTCTACACCCTCCCTCAGTCTGAGCAAAACAAAACAAAAAATTTTATTTTTTTTTTACTGTTTTTATGTTGTTTGAGGAGGTGCTGATGGATTTCAGCATTACGTAGCTTAACTTCTCAACCAAAATTGCTGAACCTTTACAAAATCACCTGTTTGGTTCAATGGGAAAACAGTAGGTACTTTAATCCTTGATGGATGGAAGGCTCTTTTGAAAGAGACAATGGTCTGTGAAATATTTACATGCAGTCATTCTGTCTAGAAAGTTACTGATCATGATAAAATTCTCTCATCTGGAAAACCCCGCTATCTTTTTTTTCTGTCTTTCCCAGAAACATTTTTTAGTGCTTAAACAAGAAGAGCATAAAAACAACAATACCAAGGGAAAATGCAGGCAGAATGGCAAACAATGCAGTTAGGAACACTTGTGAGTCAGCTTTACACATTATTTGCAGATTGAAACCTAATACCAGCTGTCAATTGCAAAACTAGTTTAACGTCTGTCTTGGATCGTTGTCCATTTAGGATCTGAACTATGTCATCGGACTGTTCTTTCAAAGTAAGGATGAGATTGTTGAGGCAATTCTTTTATATTCAGCGTACCTTGCAATGAACAAGTTCTGGAGGTAGTGAGTTATACCCTCAGCATGATGCTGCCATCACCAAGCATCATAGTTAGTACTGGGTTCTTAGGTGGGAAAGCCTAAACTGGACTCCCTCTCAATCCTTGTTAATGTTAAGAATTGAGGCTGTCATGTACCAGTGCCATTGGGACGTCTGATCTTCAACCAGCAAGCAAGGTGGGCACAATATCTTGCATAAGGACACAACAACAGAGCTAGGTGGGCACAATATCTTGCATAAGGACACAACAACAGAGCTAGGGGCTCGTACCGGCAACCGACTGACAAAGTCCTGCCACCATTGCTCCAACTTTAACAAGTAGAAGTTGGGGGATTCCTAAATGCTTTAACTTGGGGAGGAAAATAATATTGTGAATACAGGGTGGGTAGAAGAAACATGCAAAATATGGTTGCTGGTTATATTTAGTTAAAAGACTTTTATACGTTATCTGGATTAATGAAGAAACTTGGTGATACTGCTGTATTATGTGGAGACTTTTTTTTAACTTGTGTTATCATATGATCTTCAGCTTATTTTAGCTATGGGAACTCAGTAAACTGCAGCTTGCATGACTCAAGAAACTGGAACTTGGCTTGAAAACTCAGTTGTTATTATCTTTTGCTGGCCAGCAGGAAGTATCAGTTTACCTGTGTTGGCAATGAGGTTGTTGACAATCTAGCGCATGCCATGCCTTGCAAAAGTATTTCTATCCCTTGAACTTTTGCTGTACGAAAGCCAAACCTCAATGTATTTCATTGTATGGTGGAAACCTATACAAAGTACTATGCAATTCCAAAGTCTAAGGAAAATGATACATTGCCTTTTGCCTTCTAGTGCAGTTGGTTGCCTTTATAAGTCAAAATAAGGTTTCGGAGAAGTTTCTAAAAGGGTTGGGCAATAAAATCATACTCAAAGTGTTGTTCAATCTATTATCTAGAAATAGACATGTATAGCTAAATGACATACTGTATATGTCTTTCTAAAATGGCAGATCTCCCCATAAAAACATTAAAGGGCCATCATTTGACTCAAGCTAAGCAGAGAGACTCAACAGGATAAGTGTTAGTTGTGCTCTCCAAAGAGCTAAGTGAAATGCTCCCCAGAAAAGAAGAATAAAGAAGATGTATAAATTATTCACTTTTCTCTTATTCGGCAGCCCTGTCACTGCTCCTATGTTCACTGTTGTCAGCCTTCAGCAGGAGTGAAACTTCACAAGGCTTACTGATTTGGATAAAACCTCCCCTGTTTCTTTGTGTTTCTCAAAATAGTTGCCAAAGACAGAAGCAGACAAGATAAAAAAAACAGTTTACACTTTTAAGAATATTGTGCTCATGTATTGGCAGCCTTTCACAGTTAACATACCTCACAATGTTTCTTTTTAGAAAGAAAAAAGTTTTGACTTCACCTGTTATAGTTTTTCTTTGCTCATTGTATCCCTCTAGTTTGATATGAAAGCCTGTCAGGCCAACCTGCCTGTGTTTAGCATTTTAGTGATAGAGTTTATTGAATGAAAGCATCTCTCAGCTTTTACCCAGCATTGATGCAAGGTTCTGTCCTTAAAAATATGAACATATCAAACCCTCATTGTTCATCCAAGTTTAATCACTACACAAGAGTTTAGTTAGCCTCGGTTCTAGGAACTAAATAAAGTGATGAATTGCACAACTGATGTACAAACGCTGAAACTTGAACCTGAAAAGTCTCATGGATGTAACCAGGGATCTGGTGAAAATGTTTCTGAGGAATGTCACCATACACAATAAAGACATACAATACCTTTTATTGAATACAAAATGAAGACATTTCTATGATTTATTGCATGTTTAGAGTTGTACTGATTACAGAGTTTCCTTCATAATTCCTTTATAATTACAGTAAAGGCACATGTGAAGAATCTTACTTTTTTAGAAAATTGTAAATAAACAATCCCCACTTTTCCCTGCAGGGTCCCATAGCTATTGAGAGGTACCTGTGATGGACAGATCATCAGTCAGTAACACCAAAGCACACTGGTTGAGCAACCATGAACACAAACTTATACCTAGAGACGATTTAGAGAGAGCAATTAACTGCCCATAATCATATTTTTGGGCTGAGGAAGGAAGCAGAGGAGGTTTTTATGCAGTTTAAATTTTCCTAGATTGTTACAACTCCTCACCTTGGTGGACAGAGTTATATATAGCAGACTTTTTCTTGTAGTAAATAAATCCAGAGATAAAGATAACCAAACCAAGGATCAGTCCACACAGACCAACAACAATCTTAGTTTTTTCTCCTTCAGGAAGGGAGTCATCTGAAACAGGGAAAAAAAAAAAAAACAAATAGGGCAAACATTCATATTGTGAATTATTTCCATGTCAAGTATCTCATGACAATAAAAAACTTACTCCAAACAATGATTCTTGGCTCTGACAGGGTAAAGTGTTCAACCATGCAGCTGATTCTTTCTCCTGAAGTTGGTGTGTACTCAAGGTAAGAATGAAACTGGTAGAATAATTCTCCATCTGGGATGACATCTGTGTTAGTTACCCCTTCAGTCACTTCTTGGTCATTTCGCTGCCAGGTTATTTGGATTTGCTGTGGGTAAAAGTTATAGGCACTGCACACAAGCATGGCTGGATGTCGACCGTCGGGCTGTTTCACTGATTTTATCTTCATGGTGGGCGTTGTTGACAGGAATCCTAGAAAAAATGGGTTATTATTTATAATTTTTTTCACATTAGTTATATACTTGTTTCAAGAATAACCCCTTGAGATGTTTTGTCTCATTTTCGAGGGGGTTTTAACTTTTATTTTTGTATATTGTCCATTGCATGATATCATGAACAAGTAAATGTGAACAAAAACATGAACATCTTCTAATGCACCTACACAGAAATTAACACAAAAGTTGATGACTCCATAATTGAAAAAGTAAAATGTAAAAATATAACAGGACTTTTAAAAGTTATGCTATGTATGTTATGTACAACATCATAGTCTCAGTCCTAGTTGTCATATCGAATAATATGAAAACTGTGCATATTGTTAAAAAGAAATGCTCTTACCGATGTCTTGCATATAATGGATGTTCTCGTAACACATCAGTTGCATTTCCAGTAATCTTAGAATCCTATCATAAGGGTCTCTGCTCCAACCATGTGCAGCCGCAATTGAATAATTTGTGAATCCAATCCAGTTTCCTCTTGTACTGTTGTACTCCATCATCTTTTGCTTGTTAAAACGGGCTGTAAGTATGTATTCAACCTTGTCAAAGTTTGGACCACTGAATGAACAACATGCTCTGACTTGGTAAAAATCTTCCTCTGAAAAAACTGCTGAGAAATGAGAGAAATCAGTAAATTTTAAATTAATTGTTTCCCACCCCAACAGCTAACGAAAACCTAAATAAAAATGAAAATGTATTCAACTTACCTGGACTCTTAAGAGATAAGAACAAAGTAAAAAGAAAAGTGTAAGCGTTCATGTTTCCTCAAACTTTGTGAAGCACTGCTGTGTTTCACAGCTATGAGGAAGTACATGAAGTTATGCCACATACCAGCAAAAAAAACAAAACAAACAAAAAAAGAAAACACACATACCTTCTGTTGTTATATGTTCAAATTAATAAAAGCTCCAGCAATAGTCATATTATATTATTTAAACAAAAATCATTTGAATAAAAAAGCAATGTTACTTTAATTAAAAAGCCTTTCTAATATTTAGAATTTCACCTATTAAAATCACTTTGTGCAGCAAAGCTTGCTAATGTTGTAACTAGTGAATTTGCTGATGTTTTGTGTTTCTCTTTTGTGCTTCAAATGGTCTTGTCTTCATTTTCATTTGCTTCCATTCCTTTTCTGTTTTAAGTCCTGCTTAGTCAGCTGTTGTCAATGTTGAATCCTCTTTATCTTTTTGCTCACAGCAGTTGATGTCATGGTGTAATTTAACAGTCAGCAGTGTCCATAAAAACGCCTATGTGCAGCTAATGTTTAAGCTATGCAAAGTCTTACAGTGTGCTCCATTTATACTGAAAAGTTTCGAATTTTGAGTTGTAAAACAGAAAATCTTCTGGACATTGAAATTAAATTAACTTAAATTAAAGTCATTCCTCACCAAACAAAGTCTGTATTGTTGCTACATTTGTAAAAGTCACAGCAATCTACCCTTTATTCCCTTTATTTTTATAAATGGTGTTTCAGTAAGTCAGTCATTGTAGCTACATGTTTTGAATTCATAAAATGCAAAGAAATATGTTTATATTAACTGGCATTGTGGTCGATCTACGCTCCCACCTTCATGTGTGGTCATGAGCTTTGGGTCATGACTGAAAGAATGAGATCACGGATACAAGCGGCCTAAATGGGTTTTCTGGGCTCTCCCTTAGAGATAAGGTAAGAAGCTCTGTCATCCGGGAGGGACTTGGAGCAGAGCCTCTGCTCCTCCACATCGAGAGGAACCAGTTGAGGTAGCTCGAGCATCTGGTCAGGAATCCTCTGAGAAGCTTTGCACTGAGAAGCGGCTTGTATAATGAGCTCAGCGGATGTGCAAGTTCTACAAGGTGTCTGCTAATTTGTGCTGACTAGTCTGAAGGAGCTGAGTGGGGGAGTGTTGAGGAAGGGCTGTTCTGTGAGGCAGAAGCTCAGAGGAGAAGTTGTGTCTCCAGGGCACACCCAAATGTTTTACACTGTTGAATTGTTACCAGTGGAGATTAAAGGTTTTCTCAAACATGCATGAAAGAATCAAGGCAACACTCCAGGTATGTTTTTGATGAGGGAATAACATTATGACATGACATAAAGATAAAAAATGTTGATTATACATAATACTGCCTCTTTAGCTGCCACAATGAGGAAGCATCTAGTAGTTTACTTGGTGTGACCTCATTCCAACATCTGAGGTCCAGTGTTTTAATGTTCCTATATACTCAAAGTATGTGAACAATTGAAACATACCCCAGGTTCCTCTATTTGTAGTTTTGAGTTCCTGATTCATCATATGTTGCATGTTTTACTTGATTTTATCAGACCATTTATGTGACCACAGCATTATGCCACCTTAAAGCAGTCTGTGACCAATTACCTTCCCATTTTAGCTCCTGCCCCTGATGATTATCTCACCTGCTTCCATTTCCTACACATCTCTATTAGTGCAAAGAATCCCAGGCTGTAAGGATAATTTGTTAGATATCAGAAAGTGTAGTGTTTTCAAGTTTCAGTTTGCAGTACCTTTTCCATCCCTCTGGTTTGATATGATAACCTGTCAGGTATTCAGTCTGACCTGCCTGTATTAGGCATCAAAATGATGTATTTTATTGAAAAAAAGCTTACTCTTCACCCAGCACTGATGAAAGGTTATGCCCTTTAAATATGAACATGTTCTAAAACTCATCAAAACTCTCATTGTCTTTTTATCACTACATAACAGTTGAAGGCACAACATAAGTCTTGTTGTGCCAGCCAACAGGAAGGGTTTTGCATTTGTCACTCACCAGGTTTTTGGTGAAAATATTTTTGGGGAATTCCAGCAGACACATCAAAACACATTTTCCTTTTTTATGAATACAAAAACATTCTGCCAAACCGGTAATGTGACCTTTCTTGTTTTTTCTTATCTAAACACCATTGTCTATTATTTTCTAGCTGTTACTAGATTGAGGATGTAACCTAGGCAAGTTACTCAACAGGTTGTTGTTAGGTAACCAAACAGTAAGTGAGTTAGTGAATGCCACCAACCTTAGTTGGTTTAACCCTGCTTAGAGGTTGAGCTGCTCAATCTTTCCTCTGCCTACATCCCCCAGAATGCTGTGCAGTTCTGGATTGGAGTTCAGTGAAACTATTGAGAATTGTTTCACTGATAGATAATACTCAATGTATTATCTATTATTATTGATCATTGTCTATAGCAATATATGTAGTTATTGATTTATTTCTCCTATATATATTGATTCTTTCTCTCTGTCGGCACAGCTGAATGAAATGAACTTTGTAATGAAAACATTTAAGGAATACAGCAATCAAACCACACGTAGAAAACAGTTTTTTTATTTTAAACGATATCCTTGTTGAATAGCAGTTACTAACAGGATGCTGCATCTGATCAGACAAAAAGACACAACACAACTGCACTGTAGTGTTGAGGAAAGACATTTATATTGAAGTGTAATTTTTCTAGTAGTAATTTAAGCTAACCTGAACATTTACAAGCCTACTATTGAAACACCAACATAGCATAGGAAAAATGCCTGTAAATAAAGCCTGAAACGACCTAAAGTTTATTCCATAGAAATGAAGCCAAAAATGAAGTTACTGTTTTATGCTATGCATTAACCAACTGTGTCTGCATTGTAACAATACTGGTTTCCTTTCACAAACAAGAAAGTTCCTGCACCAATTCCAAGAAGCCCAAGAATCAGGCCAAGTGCACAGAAGACGGTTGGACCCATACTCCTCTCCTCTGTTTCAACATCTAAAGAACAAGAGAACAGGAGAGAAAATATTTGAAAGTCAAGATAAAATGCAAGTAGAGACAATTGAAGTTTTGAAGCTGCAGAAAAAAAAGACTTTCTCACCCCAAAACCTGGTCTTAGGCTCCTGCAGAGCTTCATGCTCCACAGTGCAGCTGTAAATGTCTCCTTGCTTTGGAACAAAGTTCAGGTAGGAGAAGACATGAAACGTCCCGTCTGAGTTGGAAATAGTTTTGATGAAGGGATCTTCCTCTGCCACCAGTTTGTCATTCTTGGTCCACCTGATGTTGATTACGGGTGGGTAAAAGTTGTTGGCAAAACACACAAGACTGTTCTCTACATCTTCAACCACTTCATCTTTGGTGTAAATAATCACTTCTGGAGGATCTAAAAAGATGAATTGGGAAGTTATTTTCTTTATAATTCTGGAAAAACTTTACCCTCCACAATAAAAGAGAAAACATCTCTAATTTATAGTAAAATACTTGCAGCTGTGTTTGCCAGAATTTAACAGTGTATATTTACAAAAATGGCAGAAAGCTGAACTTTACCTACCTTTAGTCCTTCTAACGTCTGGGTCTGGTTTCCATCGATGTATATCTTTGTTACACATGGCTTTGTATTTTTTTGAGTACGGGTATATGTAGTCAGTATGTACAGGTGTTGGTATTTTGCTGTCCCAGACGCTGGCATTGTTTTTATAATCTGCATAATACAATTCATCATCGTCTAATGTCAGATAGAGCTGGGTGTCACTTGAGTCAAAGCATCCATAGATAAAACAAAGTTGGTGACCTCCTATAACAAATGAGATTAGCAATGAAAATGAACATTAAACTGGTAAATACTTCAAGCAGCTCTATGCTGGTTACTTACCTGTAGCACCGACGAAACGTGTCCCAAAGAAAAGCAAAAGTGCAAATAACAGATTGCTTAGTCTCCAATGGTGTCCCATCATGACTCTCAATTTCTTTGTTCTGAAGATGCAATGAAAACGAACTCAAATGCCTGCATGTCTGAGCTTCCTCATTCCAAAGTGCAAACTAAAAACCTTTGGCTGAGGAGGAAGCTGGGTCCAACAAAAGTCCTATTATAGCCGCTTCTCATTTTCTCTTACGTTCTCACGTTCAAAATATACAAAATATATCTTAATTATGAAATCTAAAGAAGCGGTTACATGTTTTACAGTCATCTGAAGTAATCTCGGTGGTTTCCAGAGAGTCTATAATTAACTCTAATAAAATGAAGTACCTCTTAAGGAAGTTAGTCCACATGGGAGGGCGAGCTCACAAGATGTCAGCTGCTAATATTTTAGTTTGTGTGTTAAACTGCAACACACAGGAAGTATGAAACAAGGTGACAGTGTTCCATGGTTTGTTTTAGTTTACTTTTACATAGAAACCCAAAAACATTTTTTTCATAACTTTGAAAAAAAAAATCAATATGTAAAATGAAGTGGCACTTCTTGCTCATGTTCAGCGTTCACATTTTAAAATCTGAAATATAAACCTCTTCAAAATCAGTCACATGATGGCCTAAGCTGTCCTGAGGAGGCAGATTTGTGTCTTTATTTGTAAAGAAAGAATCATTGCTAAATATTTTTTTTTTGTTTGTTTTCCAAATAAGAATTGTTTTGCTATGGCAAATTTGTATTTGTATTTGGCAAAATAAATAAGTTTTTACTAAGTTATTAAGAACAAAAAAGTCTATATTAAAATGTTTTTTTCCAACTACATATTTTTTATTTCTAGAGAGATCTTTGAAATCACGTCATGCTCCTGTAAACCCCAAATAGAAGAAAAAACAATCCCTTTCTCCCACAGTGGGAGTGAATTTGAAATGTGTATTTGTTTAAAATACATTTGTCTGGAATTTTGTTTTCTGAGTCAATCTTGTCTCAGTGACTCAGATCATCAAAGCATCACAGTGTTGTTTAGATCATTGACCATATTGTCTTTCTGCACAATAATTTATTGAGAAATTGAACAAGTGAACAATTTCTTCACATTTATTTACATTGTTGGCTTGAATGCAGTTTTAAGAAGCACAGCTTTTATAACAGTGGTGATGTACTGATTACTATACCAGATGTTTCTATCCATTCGTTTATCCAAACTAGCGGATGACTATGACCATTGGCTACTTGGTGAATCGTCATACCTATGGACAAGTTAGAGAGCAAATAACTTCCACAGGTTTTGGTGTGAGAGAGAAAGCTGGAGGATGAAAGCGAGAACCAGTAAACTTCATGCAGGAATTCCAACAAGCACCTTTTTTCCTGCAAGGCAATAGTGGTCCAAATTGTACTACAGTGCCGTTCAATAAGTCACACCGAAAAAAAAGCAAAAACACAGAAAAAAAGCAAAAACAAAATCACATACATGATTAAGATATATACACAGAAATTGACACAAAAGTTAATTACTTTTTTTAACTATACAAAAGTCAAAAAAGCACCACACAATGACAAATGTCTTCCAGTTACTATAAAATGAAAAATTTGCACACTCTTTCCTACAATTAAAATTGAACCACTGAGAAACATTCACAGGTTTCATAAGTGGAGCAAATTGGAGGACTTGAGGGATTTTTTAATTTGTTTTTGTTTGTTATACTGAAAGGCAATCCAGGAATGACCTCCACAGGAATTATAACACATTCTGTTAAAGGAAAGACAAATTTCATTAATGATAGAAGTACAATAACATTTTGGGTTTTTATCCGAGGTGGACAGATCTCACCTTGGTGGACAGAGTTATATACAGCAGACTTTTCTTGTGTAAATAAATCCAGAGATAAAGATAACCAAACCAAGGATCAGTCCACACAGTCCAACAACAATCTTAGTTTTTTCTCCTTCAGAAAGGGAGTCATCTGAAACAGGGGAAAAAAAAACAAATAGGGCAAACATTCATATTGTGAATTATTTCCATGTAAAGTATCTCATGACAATAAAAAACTTACTCCAAACAATGATTCTTGGCTCTGACAGGGTAAAGTGTTCAACCATGCAGCTGATTCTTTCTCCTGAAGTTGGTGTGTACTCAAGGTAAGAATGAAACTGGTAGAATAATTCTCCATCTGGGATGACATCTGTGTTAGTGACCCCTTCAGTCACTTCTTGGTCATTTCGCTGCCAGGTTATTTGGATTTGCTGTGGGTAAAAGTTATAGGCACTGCATACAAGCATGGCTGGATGTCGACCGTCGGGCTGTTTCACTGATTTTATCTTCATGGTGGGCGTTGTTGACAGGTTTCCTAGGAAAAAGTTATTATTTACAATTTCTTTCACTTTTGACCTTAACTTTTATTTTTCTATAGTGTTCATTGTAGTGCATAATATCATAGACAAGTCATTGTGAACAGAAAACATTTTCTTAAAAATCTACACAGAAATTTACACAAAAGTTAATGAATCCATTGTAAAAATGTAAATACTCATATGTTTTTACTAGATGTCATGTAGAAATATAAAAGTATTTGTTAAAGTACAGAAAATTATTTTGTATATTGTCACTGAATGAGGATGTATAAGTTCTATAGTGGCATATAAAGTAAAACTAAAAACAAGCTTCATATAGTTAAAAAGAATTGCCCTTACTGATGGATTGTATGTATTCTTGGTTGTCATAACACATTAGTCTAATTTCAATTGCTCTTTCAAAGCGGTCCAAAGGGTCTTTGTTCCACCACTGTGAAGCCACACTGTGAATCCAATCCAGTTTCCTCTTGTACTGTTGTACTCCATCATCTTTTGCTTGTTAAAACTGGTTGTATGTATTACTGAATGAACAACATGCTCTGACTTGGTAAAAATCTTCATCTGAAAAGACTGCAGAGAAATGAGAGAAATTATTTTTTATACTTTTTATATTAATTATTACACCAAACCTCTAAATAAAAATTGAAAGGTTAAATTATTCAAACTCACCTGGATTTCCAAGCGATACAAACAAAGTAAAAAGAAAATTGTAAGTGTTCATGTTTCCTCAGCGGTAAAACGGGACAGGACAGACCTACACTGGTGTGCAAAAGTTATTTGCTCCAAAGCTTAGAGGGAGTAAGTTTAGTTACGTCACATACACAAGAAACATGTCACACTTAGGCCACATGCACACATAAGCGAAACACACATACACACTTCCTTTTTCACATCCTACTTCCTTTATATCTGTTCCTTTTCTTGGCTACCATTTATTGTGTTTGATACTTTCATACAGCTACATGTCACCCTCCAGCAATATGAAATAAGGCTTATCTGTTAGAAAAAAGATAATTAAGACTCACCAAACCTAACACAACGTTGGCAAGAAACTAGAAAGAATTGCGCAAACGCTTTTACAATCTAAGATAGTAATTGTATGTGATACAATGAGTAAATGTGGCATTCTTGAACAAAATGTTTCTTTTTGATTAGTGTGAGAAGGTTTATTACCTAACAAAAGCTTTATCCATTTACCAAATTGAGTCCATTCAATCAGAAACAAACCCATAAAAACATGGGGATTTTACTAGCTGTGTGAAACACAGGAACAGATCTGAATGGCAAAAAAGGTATCACTCTTTGCACTGAGAAGTCATCACTGAATTCAGAAAACATAAAAGCTAATTGATTATTAAGTGAATTTCTGAAAGTCAGAATAACTCAACATAAATGTAGAAGTACGAAGCACAGATTGTTTAATCTCCAGTGGCGTCCCATCATGACTCTCGGTTGCTTTGTTCTAAACATGCAGTGAAAACGGGATCTCACCAGACAGACTCAGGTTCCTGCAGGAAAGAGCTTCTTCATTACTGAGTGCAAACTAAACACTTTTGCCTGAGGAGGAAGCTCGATCACTAAAAATCCAGCTGCGTTTTTGTTGACTCACTACTTCAAATGTTAACAGACCTTTTGATTTATGTCTTGTTTTGACTCTTTCATATTTTGTTTTTTTGTTACATTTAATATTCTTACTTCTTGCATCTTGTACTTAATGTATTTTTATGTATTTAGATTTTTATTCACCTTACACTCTGTTTCACTCTCTAGACCTTTAGTTCCTTTTCTATGTTTAAAAGATTCTGCTTTCACCTAAAGGGGGGAGTTATTACATAAAATCCACTTTTTTCAGGTTTACATCATGTTATATCATCATGTTGCTTTGATTCTTTTATGTTAAATTACAAAATCACATTTTTTTCAAGTATATATACTTATAAATAAACAGCTAAACAACACGATTACTTGATTGTGCTATGAAATGGCACTATGTGCCTGGAAAAGCCACATACTTCATAACACTGCCCTGTTGTTTATTACATATTTGCTGATAACTGTCTGACAGATAATCTGTGAATAAATGGAGCAGCTCTGTTTTCTCCCAGTGTTTCCAGTACTAAGTGCAGAAATATAATTTTACAGGCTACATAGAGGAGACACGTGCTCAGGAACAGTTTGTAGTGTACAGTGAGCTAATGTCACAACAGCTGCAGAATGGCTTTACAGCCCCCCTCTCACTCCCTCTTTCTCGCTCACGTTCACTCACTGGCAGTAAGCTGCTGATATTTTATGAGGACAGCACATTATGTTAGTGTGTGAAACTGCAGCACACAGGGAGTGAGAAGCAAGGTGACTCTGTTTCATGGATCGTTTTAGTTTACAATAACACGGAAACACAAACTCTTTTCTCGTGACATAAAAAAAGGAACACAAGATTTACATGTTGGTAAATCAACATGTGCATATGTTAACGGCAGGAGATGAGAAAAAGAGATAATTAATTCCTCTATACACCTGCAGTTATGTTACCAGAAATACTAAGGAAGAAATGTTGATTTAATATT